CATTTTTTTACAAAGAGGAAGTGTTTTTTGGGAAAATGAAAAAAATGAAAGATGAATTGTTTTAAGGAACGGAGGGAGTATAAAATAGTTTTAAAAAATTTTGAACTGAGAATTCAAACAATAAATGATAAATTGGTAAATTTTGTGACTATTTTATTTGTAAATCTGGCATTGTATTCCGAAAAGATTACTCGGGTATAACAGAGTATGAGATTTCTTATTTAGAGGGGGAGGGGCACTCATGGGTTCTACCCATGCACCGGCCAATGCTGTAATGTAATCTCATTTCTATCAGCAAATGGCTCAAATGACTACAAACTATAAAATCACTAGCAGCACCTATTAACAGGTACCCTAAAATATTTTATTTTTAAAAAATTTAATGTAAACTAAACATTTAATTTTAACCAATCATATTACAACTCTAATACAAAATTCATATGGTAAAAATTTGTCCATGGAGGTGTCCCTTCCTCAATTCCTCCCTTAGAAGACACATTTTACTTTGACTTGGGAGGAAAAATACGTCCAATCACAAAAGCCATATGCACGTGACGAATTCTTTTCGTTTGAAAAAGTTCTTTTTCTTGGTAGAACATCAATCTTATACGGGCATATTTTTTTCACTGCTATAAAATTGTTTTTATTTTGATATTAAAAAAATTAAATTGTATGTTTATTATTTATATAGTCAAATTTTATATACTTTTTTTCTTAATTTTTTTTGTTTTGATAAAATAATATATTTATGTCACTACTAACTTTGTAGATATTTTGATATAGTTTTTAAATATGTAATTTTTATTTCCTAGTCTTATACTCTGTACCATTTTCATATAAAATGATTTGAAAATAAGTTCAGTCAAGTATGATTAATAAAAACAGACGATTTAATTTAGAACAAATCAATTACGGAGTAATATTTTTATGTTGAAGTTGGAATGTCTACTTGAAGCGAGTGCATGGTAGCGTATTGTTAGTGGGCTTGTAGATGGGCTGATGGTTATTCGGGTCGTACACAATATAACAAGTTTTGTTTTTATTTCTTCCAAAATATTTTTTTAATTAAATCGTCCGTGTAAAATTATTATTTTTATAAAGAGTCACTCCCTAATTTAAATATTCGTTTTAGTCCCTTTAAAAGCCATTTTGTTCTTTCAATTCTGTTTTTAAATTATTAAATACTCCTTTAACAATTATTTTATTTTTGTATTCAAGATTTACTTAATTACAAGGTCAAAATCAATGAAATATTTTTAAATACTTAATCGAATAACTACATATTTACAAATTTATTAAAATTTTTCTAAATTGATACTTAAATTTTTAGCAAAAAACTTTTTTTACTAAATTAATACCAGATTTCTTAGTATAATTTGTCAAATTCATGGTTTTTAGTAAAGTTCTTACCCTCACCATCTGAAACTATTTCTGTTATTTTTTTAGGATGATTATTTGTGTAATGATAGTATAGTAAAGATACTCATTAAAAACACTCCCGGTATTAATTTAACTAAATAATTTTTATTAAAAAGTATTACTTTAGAAAAAATTTAAACAAATTTTTCGTAGCATAGTTAATTATTCGATTCGGATTCCTTTGATACTTAAGACTATAATGACTAAAAAGAATATGTTAATCTTGTATAGAGTATTAAATAATTTAAAATAGAGGAAGAACAAACAAATACGGAGTAGAACTTTAGAGGAACTAAAAACGAAAAAAATAAGTTTTACAGAGATCAAAATATATATCTAAAATTCTAAATTATGGGAGGACTGTTTGCTAAAATAATGATTTTACACGGACAATTTAATTAAAAAAATATTTGAAAGCAAAACTCGCTAATTTTAGAGGGACTAAAAACATAGTTAACTCATACCGAAATAATGGAGATTAATGAAAGAAAGCTCTCTAGACATGAGTAAAAAAGTTTGAAAATACCAAAATAGAAGTCTTATGCCTTTAAGACTAAAATAGAAGTATAATGACTGTGTGATGTAATAATAAGTGTTGGCAATATGATAGAAAATGATGACAGTGTAAATGTTAGTGGGACCAGTCAATCATCGGCAATTTGCAGTGACACTCTGGTGGTCGCCAGCGACAAATGGCGATGTAGTGGTGATAGTGTGATAGTTAGAATGTGAGAAAGTGGTGAGCATAACACTTTAGCAATGACAATATAAGCTCTCGTTTTAGTCTTAAAAGACTTATGACTTCTATTTTACTACTTTAATAAATGTTTACTCACGTCTAAGAGCACTGGTAATGGTCATGAAGCCCCGGGGCTTCAAACCGGGGCTTCAAACTTTCTTTCTCTGCCACGTCAGCTTTAACTTACACCCAAAATTCACTGGAAATGGTTTTGAAACCCCGGGGCTTCAAACTGGGGCTTCAAACCTTCATTTTTTACATTTTTAAATATACATTTTCTAAAACTAAATTAATAAAATTTAATTATTTCATTATATTGAAACAAGAATAATTAAAAAAATACATTCATTAAATTTAAAGAAATTGAAACGACAATAATTTAAAAAATTACATTCATTAAATTAAAAAAAGAAAGTGACATTAATTTATATGACAATAATTCATTAAATGAAAATACTTAACTTCAACAAAAAAGAACATTTAATTAAAAAATTACATTAATTAAAAACTTAAAACAAATTATATTTAGCTTTGATCTTGTTATGTCTTCTCTCAAAAGCAGATTATATTCAATTGGTCATTTGACTCGAGACCGGACAAATGAACATAAAAAATGAAGACATTCATGTTAAAAAAGATGAAAAAAATTGAATATTTTTTTTTAAATTTGAAGAAGATAGAGGAAAAGATTTTGTGGGTGTTTAATTTTTTTAAAAATAATTGAAGAAGAAAGATTTTGTTTGTGAGGTTTATTTTTAAAAATAAAAAATTGAAGAGGAAAATATTTTGTGGTGTTTATAGGAAGAGTTTTTTTTTTAATTTGATGAAGATGGGCAAAACGCCTGTTAAAGGTNGTTATGTCTTCTCTCAAAAGCAGATTATATTCAATTGGTCATTTGACTCGAGACCGGACAAATGAACATAAAAAATGAAGACATTCATGTTAAAAAAGATGAAAAAAATTGAATATTTTTTTTTAAATTTGAAGAAGATAGAGGAAAAGATTTTGTGGGTGTTTAATTTTTTTAAAAATAATTGAAGAAGAAAGATTTTGTTTGTGAGGTTTATTTTTAAAAATAAAAAATTGAAGAGGAAAATATTTTGTGGTGTTTATAGGAAGAGTTTTTTTTTTAATTTGATGAAGATGGGCAAAACGCCTGTTAAAGGTTTAACACAATCAAAATCACGCCCGGATAAAGCCCCAGGGGGGCGGTGTTTAACGCCCCTGGGGCGTTAAAAGTGCAGTCACGCCACCGGACGTTACATGCATTACCAGTGCCCTAAGAAGTTCTCCCATAAATTGAAACCAATTTGCTCTGCGTCACAACTCAACAATTCAACATTTAGCAATGCTATTTTTGAATTTATAACTTTTTCAAAATGAATCGATACTTTTAAAAATTATCCAAGACACAAACATTAATGACCAATGTCATTTTCAAACAATGTCGTGGAGGAATACTCTTCACTTCGGAAATCAACTTCCCATTTCATTTTTATTAGTCAAAGTTTGTAAATTTTTTATTCCAATTACGTAGAAAAAATACATTGTATTATGATATGATGTTATTCATTTGGGAATTGGGAATAACGCTTTCGATTAGCGTTAGCGTTTTGCATAAAATCTTAACGGTGACGATTAAATTTGAAAACGTTAACACTAAACGAGCTACCCGCTGATAGTCTTTTCAAAACGCTAACGCAAACCTCTAAGATTATTCCCAAACATGCCCGATATATGTTTAATATTAATATCTTCATATTGAAATGTAGTTTTGGAATATAAAATTGTTCAAAAATATATCTATCTATAGATATAGATATTAATGGTCAAAATGTGATATTAGAGACCGTGAAAAATCAAATGGGAGTACCAAAATTGTAAACTCAAACCTATTGTACCTGTTAACTACATACTCCGATCCAACCATCCGCACAATCTTAGTTATACTTTTAAATATCTCAAATTTTAAAGTATTATCTCCGTCTACAAATAAATTTTACGTTTACTATTCACAGGGTCAAATTTTATTCACTTTGTTGGCTTATTTTCGTCACCTATTTGATAAAATAATATAGTCATGTCACCTCTAGTTTTGTACTCCCTTCGTCCCATGAAACTTTTCTCCTTTCTTTTTTTATCCGTCCCACAAAACACTTCTCATTTCTATTAAAAAGTCCTTTCTACCCCTTATTTTTTCATACCCTAACTATCACATTATACCTTTTTACTAATAATCTATCCATCAAATCATATTTTTACTCATCACATCAAAGGATATTTTTGGAAATTTAATACCAAAATATACCACTCTTAAATCTCTCCTAAAAAGCAAAGATTCCATGTTTAATGGGACGGAGGGAGTATATCTTTTGATATAGTTTTTTTAATATGTAATTTTTATTTTTCAATTCTACACCATTTGTCATATAAAATGATTTGAAAATAACTTCAGTCAAACATCGTAACGCGTAATGTAAAGTTTATTTGTTGACGGAGAGAGTATAACAAAAAAACTTTGAAGCAACATTGATAACAAGTTAATTTAATTAACAACCATGTGAATATGGTCTATTTTGGAATATAACAAAAAAAAGACTCTGAAGTACGGAGTAACATTGAAAACAACCATGTGAATATGGTCTTGAGAAGTGTTTTAAATATTGTTGTTATTTCTACTAAATAAAAAAGGGATAAAACTAGAAATAATAGAAGAAAAGTAATAATATATATTTATAGAGACAAGTTTAATTTATTTCTACAACATATTTTGCTGCAAGACTGAAGAGTAAATTAAAGATATATCTTTGTCCATCACATGCATGATCAAAGAGGTTTGGTAAACACTCAAAACATTTATTTTCTATGTTCCAAAAAATTCTCCCCACAAAAACAAAAAACGCCCAAGAGTGTGACACATCAATGCTTATTAGCTTCTACACTTGCAGCAAATTTCAGATCACAGAGAAAATTAAATTATCAATCAATGCTGACAATTTTATATTAATTAAGAAGATAATTAATAGGAATTGATCATGAAAAAAACAAATGCAACCTTTGAGTTTTCTATAAATTGATAACGTCGTTCAGTTTTTTCTGCAACGCCTCGAGATCAATCCATTTCTCCTCATAACTAACCTGTAACGTAGCCAATATGTAATTTAATATATACTCAAATTTATCTTATTCGAAAAAAAAAAGTAATAATACTCTTGAATGTAATTAAATATATTGGTCACGAAAATTGATCAAACCCTAAGTTTGTGTCTACGTTTCATTTGTTCTTGGTACATCATGACCAAGATATCTCATATTTATACTCCCTCCCTTTGGAAAAATCCTTTCCATTTGATTTGGGGGCAAAAATAAGGAAGTGTAAAATTATACTCCGTAGTTGATTTTCAATTTTGCCCCTGATGTGATGGGTAAAAGTAAGATATGATGGATAGATTATTAGAGAAAAAGTATGATGTGATAGGTAGGATATAAAAAGTAAGGGTAAAAATAGTTTTTTAATAGAAAGGGGATGTGTTTTGTTGGAAGTGGAAAAAATGAAAGAGGAAGTGTTTTTGAGAACAGAGAGAGTATTATTTAAAACTAGATAAAAAAATGCAATAGAATAAAATATCTCATATTTATATTATTTGATCAAATTATCAACAAAATATATGTAAAAAAGGAGATATAGTCTGACTCTATAAATAGTACTCCCTCCGTCCTATAATGTTCTTCCCGGTTCATTTTACGAGATTTGACCAACTTTATTTTCAATTCAATTTATTTGATTGTAGGTGTAATTATATGTCAAGAAACACACACTCCCTCGGAGAGAGTGTGGTATTTTATTTCATTTGAGACTTACGCGTGTATATTATTTTTATATAAACTAGATACTGATAAGTTTCAAATTTGTGAGCTAGCTTTAGGTAAATAAGACTCTAATGGTATGTCAAAGAATGAATTCAAACCAAAACTCAATCATACTATTGTAGCTCAAAACCCGCACGGGTAGCCCAAGTGGCAAACACTTGGTGAAGTTTGGAGAATGACCAAGGATCGAAACCTGGCAGCGACCGTTGTGGAGGCGATTACCTCTGAAAAATGGGGGGAGTCTCTGGTGCGCACTAGGATATGGTCTAGCTAAGTGTTGTGCTTGGGTCACCGTGATTTACCTCCTCTCACATTCCCGTCGGGTCGGGGGTGAGGGGCGCCCGGGGCGAGCGATTTCACCTTTGGAGAATACTATTGTAGCTCAAAGAAAGATCTAACAATTTAATAAATTGTGTCTTTTATTTTGAGATAGAGAGACGATTAAACTATCCTATATTATATTCTATCCGTTCCACAAAATTCTTCCGGTTTTGACTTTAAAGAAAAATAAATAAAGTGTAATTTTGGTGTACTTTCCAATTTTGCCCGTGAAGTCATAGGAAAAAGTAAGATGAGATAATTTGGTTATTAGTGAAAAAGTATAATGTGATAGGTAGAGTATGAAAAAGTAGGGGTAAAAGTGATTTTTTTAATAGAAACTGAAATTTTTTTGTGGAAAGCAAAAAAACGAAAAAGGAAGGGTTTTGTGGAACGGATGGAGTATGAGAAATGCTAGAGCCACAAACATTTCAGTCACAAAATACACAAACTTACCATTTGTGTATTTGAATGCTTACTTTTTAATTATTCAACATCATTTTATTCATTCAATGAGGTGCACAAATGGCAAGGCTGTGCATTTTGTGATCGAAGTGTTTGTGACTCTAGCATTTCTCATATTATATTGGTTCTAACAAAATCATTAGGAGTATAATGCTACTAAAAGTATTGGTATAATATCCTTCTTCGCTGAGAATATCTAAAGTAAAATTTGCACTAAATATTTCTAGAACATACTCCATCCGTTCTCAAAAAATCTTCTTCTTTTATTTTTTTTACTTCCAATAAAATACTTCCACTTTCTATTAAAAAATCACTTTTACACTTACTTTTTCATACCCTACCTATCACATCATACATTTTCTCTAATACTCAATCCATCACATCAAGGGTAAAATTGGATGTCAACTACAATTTAACACTTTCTTATTTTTACACAAAGTCAAAATGAGATCACTTTTATAGAACAGAGGGAGTATGTTATTTTGTCAATGTAGTATTTAAACGTTTTTATTTTTTAAATAATATTGAAATAAAGTCTAGTGACGAGAACAATGTCTACTAATGACGAACATTTACTTTGAACAATGTCCAGTGGCGGTGAATATTTACTTGAATGATGACCAGTGGACAATGACCACAATGACCAGCGGTATTACATTGAAAAAGTTACCCTATTAGATTACTATTTAGATAAATTACTCATATTTAAAAACCAAGGAATTGAATACTTATTTTAAGTTCTTGTTTCAAAATATTTTTTTCTATCCAAACAATATAACCCATTATTTTTATTTAATTATAACAAAAAGTTAATTTTAATTAAGTGGAAAAATCAAAATTGGACACACTCAGGCCCGTTTGGTACACGAAATTCAAACTATGGAATTGGAATTGAGGACTTCAATTCCAATTCTGGTGTTTGGTAGCTCAAAAATTATGTGGATTTGGAATTGACAGTGCAAAAAATGAATTGGAATTGGTGAATTCAGTTATATGGAATTGAATCTCATAAAATTTGAATTTAAATTTCAATTCCATCAATTCCGTACACCAAATGAACGCTCAATAATTTAAAAGAAAAAGTTAATTTTGAATAATTAGTACCTGAGACTGAAGGCAATGAAGAAACCTATTATCAGCCCTAGTAGAACCGCAGCTGACCACATCAACCCCTTCCTTTTGCAGCGTCCCCACCACTCTCGACAGTGCAAAACCTCCCCTCTCGCCGCCGCCGCCGCCGGCGTCACAGTTGATCAGAACCTCAACCCCGTTCCGGCAACCGCTGACCGATACGAAATTCCCGGGGCCCGCGGCTCGGGTCTGATCTGCTGAGCTTCCCCCCTTCTTCTCCGAACCACGAGAAGGACTCCGAATCGCCGCCGCCGTCTTTAGCCTCTCCCGCTTCCTTCCCAAATCCTGAACGTTTTTCTGCATTTGTTTTATGTAATTCAACGCCTCGTGCATGTGATCCGATGTCGAACGCTTTCCCTATATCATCAATACGGATCAAATTAGCCGTCAAAAAAGAATATGGATCAAATTAAAAGAAATTTATCAAACATTTATTTATAAGCTAAGAACGGTTTATAAATAATACTCCCTCCGTCCAACAAATAAGCTTCCCGTTTGATCCTTCCGACAAATATGCCAACAAAGTTAATAAAGTTTGATAATGAAAATAGTGAACGGAAAGTTTAAATTACTTTTACATATTCGAGGGGGAGGAGAGAGCGGAGGGAAGCATAGAGGGTGGCCATTTCTTGGCGGCGCTGCCGCTCGATTTCCCGGTGCATAATTCGCTTGAGCTTGCTGCTGTCGTCCGTGGCGGCGGCAGCGGCCGCGGGAAAGTCATCGGCGCAAGCTTCCGGTAGGATCATTCGATCTCCTCGTTGCGGCTTCCCGGAGGAAGCGGCGGCTGAGGAGGAACGGCCGCGGCGGCCGGCGGCGGCAAGTGGCGGGGCATAGCTGCAAGTATTGTTGGTAATGATAATATTGTTGTAATCGAAAAAGGGATCTTGATGAGAAGGGATCTTGGGTTGATTGTGATTAGAGAGAATTTGGAACAACAAATCGTCACCACGAAACATGGCTCCGACCAAATCGTGGAAACCTCAGTGTTTTATTTTGTTATTTATAGTATGTTTTGAGGTTGTAAAATAGAAGTATTAACAGTAGGTACAAAAATAATACTCCCTATGTCCCATGAAATATGAGATGTTTTGCTTTTTGAAAAGATTTAAAGGAGTATATTTTGGTATTGAATTTCTAAAAATGTCCTTTGATGTGATGGGTAAAAGTAGAATTTGATGGATAGATTATTAGTAAAAAAAAGGTATGATGTGATAGGTAGGGTATGAAAAAGTAAGAGATAAAAGTGATTTTTTAATAGAAAAAAGAAAGGAGAAATGTTTTATGGGACGGAGGAGGTAGAAGTAATTGCTAAAAATACCGATATGATGATAGGGCTGTCTGTTGGAGGAGGATTTGGGAGATCTCTAGAATGGGCCGTTAATTAATTTGTGTACTCCATAAAACGCACTGTTGACATAAACAAGACGACGTACTTAATTATCTTTTCCTCCTGTTTGACATATTCCGTAAAATGAAGTAAAGTTTTAACTTTTTTTTCAATTTATTTTATTTAAATATTGGTAAAAAAATAAAAATAAATTACATATTCAAAATCTACATGAAAATTTCTTTGAAATAAGAATTGTCAGAAAAATTTTATTTTGATCAAATACTCCGTTCTCAATAAAAACATACTCCTTCCGTCCTAAAATTAACTTTCCAGTTTGACTTTTGTAGTCAAACTTTTTAAACTTTGACCGTATATTATGGAAAAAATACATTGAATTTTCATATAAATTTATTAGCAAAAGATTCATTTTGAAACATAATTTTGAAATATATAATTTTTATAAAATATATTTATATAAAAATTGAGATATTGATGGTCAAAAAGTCGCATTGGAGACCGTGAAAAGTCAAATGACAAGTTAATTTTAGAATATAGGAAGTATAAACAAATAAAGGTTTCTGTAATGGTTGAAAAAGGGAATGTGACATTCCTTTTGGGACGAATGGAGTAAGGGTAATTTACCTAAATAGGACTAAAACATAATGACTTTCTCAATATAGGACCATATGTTTTTATTTCCCAATGTAAGACCATTGGTCATTATCTATTAATCATTATTCAACTAAATGTCCAGCATCACTTAGACATTATTCTTCTCACTAGTCATTATTAAGTTCTATTTAGAGAATTAAAAAGTTTAAGTCCTATATTGGGAAATGATTTATGTTTTAGTCCTATTCAATGCAAATTTCACATTATATTACCCCTCCAACTTAACAATATCTCTTTCATTTTGAATTGGTACGAATATTAAGAAAAAAATTAAAAATATTCATACTTTAAATGTTTGTTTTTGATATGATGGAATAAAGTAAATAATGTAAATGAAAGGTGAATGAATAATATCACATTCTTTAAAACCCCAGAGTATTTTTTTCTCAAACTAGAAATCAAAAAAAGAAACTTGTGAATGGCCCAAAAAAATGTACTCCGGGGTTAAAGAAATTAGAGGGAAAGAGTATTTGGCCAAAATATAAAAAATAAAAAGAAAAAGAAATTGTTATTGGAATACATGTACTCCGTATTTATTACTCCCTCCGTCCCTCAAAGTCATTCCCTTATTGACTTTTTGAGAAATTAAGGGAGAGATATTTTGGTGTTGACTTTCCAAAAATACCCCTGATGTGATGGATAGATTATTAATAATAAGTTATGATGTGATATGTAGGGTATGAAAAAGTAAGGGGTAAAGGTGATTTTTTATTAGATAAGAGAAAGAGTTAGTAGGACTAGAAAAAAAGAAAAAGGAAGGAGTTTAAAGGACGGAGGGAGTATTTGTTAATATGTATTATTATTTTCGGTTATTGGGCTGAGTATCAGGGCTTTGTGAATGTATATATATACTCGATTTGTGATTAATGAAAGCAAGTCATTCATTTCCATAAATCTACATGATATCAAAGTCTTGTTGATTAAGAGGTCGCGTGTTTGAAAATTAACACTACCCGATTTTAAAAAATTTAACGTGCATGTGCCTGTGCAAGGCTTGAAAAGATTACGATTGCACATAAGGAGACGTGTTAGAATATAAAAAAATCTAGACCATAACCACACACTTAAGTTTTTGGTTGAATTGTTTCTTGTTGCATGCTAACAACCACTTCCTTCAATTCCATCAGAATGTGTTGTCCACTTTTGGTCCATAGTAAACAATTTAGTAGAGTATATAAGCATGGTTGGCATTAATTAATGATATCCTCATTAAACGATTATTTAACATTTTGACAAACATTTTCTAAAAATGGTTTATTTTTTAAAAAAGTAATTGATTATTCAGTTGTATATGCAGAAACGGATTTCACATTAGTTTTATATTCATATTGTCAAGCCATATTTTCTTGTTATATAATTTCAATGGTCAAATTAAATATATAAAATATTTTTTAAAAATTAACTAATTTTTATATAAATTAAATTAAAAATAAATTTAATCTTATCTTAAACCCAAACTAAAATTCTTCTTGTAGGTTTGAACTCGTCACCTCATTTTTAGGAGAGTCAGCTAATGCCTCAAGACCACAAGATGTTTATTAGGTACTCTCTCCGTTCCATAAAATTATTCCTCTTTCGTTTTTTGCTTTCCACAAAACATTTCCACTTTCTATTAAAAAACCACTTTTACCTCTACTTTTTCATACCCTACCTATCACATTATACTTTTTCATTAATAACCAAACTATCTCATCTTATTTTTTCTCATCACATCAGGGGCAAAATTGGAAAATCAACCAAAATTACAATTTTCTTATTTTTCCCCAAAGTCAAAACTGGAAAAGTTTTGTGGAACGGAGGGAGTACTCTCTAAAGAAATATCTTCATGTCTAAATAAAGTAACCTTTGTGTTAAAAAAAGGAACCTTTTATTTGGAAGGTTTTTTTTTCAGTAACTTTAATTAGATAGGGGAGATCAGTAATTTTAATTGGTATGGGACTTTGCTGGGTTCTGACTCTCATTAATGGTTTCCGACTTTCTGCCACACCGCACTGTATTATCCCCTTTAATATTTGCGAGCTAAGATAATGTAAAATAAATGCAATTTTTTTGCTTCTCGAAAAGAGAATAATTGGACCTATTCCCGCACTTTGTACTTGGTCTATAGTTGACACATACAGTACTAATATTTAACTTTTCTATGTAGTTAGTTACACACTTAAGCACTGCTAATGGATGTAAAGCCGAAGGGCGTCATTGCCCGTTTAACGCCAAGGGGCGATAAACACTGTTCTCAACCCGTGTTAAGCCGGTGTTATCTTTCAAGCATCAAACGTTTAACACTACTTTGAAGGCTCAAATAAAAAAGACATTTTTGCTAACGGCTATAATGCTGTTAAGCTTTAAAAAAAGAAATTTCTCGAAAAGATGTACAACACACCGCAAACACAAATCTCTCTCTCATCTTAAAAAAAAATATATACAAGTGTTTCATTTATTTTTAACATGAAGTCACGAATTTCATCGGTTATAATGTTTCTTTAATCGGTATATATGCTTTTTGAGTTAAATTAAAAAATTGATTGGATTCCATTTTTTTAATGTGGTTTAACACAAGTGTCTTAGAGCCCGATCCAGTGACCCCTGTCCCATTATAAATAAATAAAGAGAAATGTGTTAAATAAACAGTGATTGTTTGGTATCAACATAAGTTGCAAAACAAAGTTTGGATAGTTGGGATGTATGGTTTGATGACTTTTTTTATTATGGCAATTTTAGCCTTCTTTCCTTAGTCAATTCTGCACCACCGTCCACAATTGCTTTATTTCAGTACTTTTGCACTGCCTTTGTGGGACTTGTTCTTGAATTAATGATAATTACAAAGTCACAAATTAGAAATTTTTGTTTCATGAGTACTTCTTTGTATTATATTATAGATTCTATTAAATATGTTTATACATATTTTGAAATACTTGCACTAAATAACACTAAAATTTAAGTTAAAATAATGTTAACGTGTACAGATTGAACGATATAATTCAAAATAATGGTTGTTATACAATGTTCAATTAAAACGTTTTAAAAGGAGCGAGTAAACACATTGAAATGTATAATGGCATGCATAACGGATGCCATAATTGCCCAACTATTAGTGCAGTTTGACTTTTTTAGTCAAATTAAGACATTTTTTTTATGTGAATTATGGAAAATGTATATTTACTTAAAATGTAAATTTAATAAATGTGGATTTATTAAAAAAAGTTTTGAAACATCAAATTTTTATAATATTTAATTACTTTAAATTATATTTAATTCATCATCAAATAGTGTCATAGTTTGACTAAAAAAGTCAAATTGCGGCAATCTTTAGGAGACGGAAGGAGACAAAGAGTGTATCTTTTGAGTTTTTCTATTGAACATAAGTTTATTTGTGCATTTCATTACTCATCCGTCCAAAAATATGCTTCATATTTGATTTTTTAGGTTAAATTTTGTGAGTTTTGACTCCGATTTATGAAAAAATATATTGTATAATGATATAAATTTAATATCAATATATTCTTTATAAAACGTAGTTTTGAAATATGATTTTTTATAAAATATAGAAATTAATAGTCAAAATATAATACTAGACGGAAGGAGTATTTCATACCCGTGTCAATGGACAAAACATTAATTGAAAATATGAAAAGAAAAAAAATAACAAAAAATGTTGTAAATGAGTAAAAGACGACAACGAGAAGGAAAAGTTAGCAAAGAGAAAAAAAAACTCTAATCTTGCTTGTTGAGGATTGGGGAAGGTTATTTTTTCTTTCTCGTCACAAAAAAATGTGACAAAAATTTAAAAATGTTTAATCAATAAAAAAAATCACCCTTAATATGAATAAAAAATAGAGAAAATACCAAAAAATAAATTGCATGTTTATATTTTCTAAATAAGAATTCGTACTGTAATAATGAGACACTCTACATGAATATCTTACTATGGTTTAGGGGTGCATACAAATCAAATAAAATGTATTCGGTTCGTGA